ACGAGTCTTTAAAATGGCCGTTTACCGGAAAAGTTACCGTTCAGCTCTTAAATTGGAAGGCCGATAAAGGTCATATTCAGAATATCGTATCGTTTGATGATGCAGCTGGTGATAAGGTCCGAGCTCGTGTAACCAGTGGAAAGTATGCTGCCACTGGGCGTGGCTCTAGCAAGTTCGTACCTCATTCAATGCTTCGTCTTAACGTTGCTAAAAATACCGAATTCATTGTCGATGATTGTATGTGCTTTAAGATATCCAAAGTTGATGTTAAAGATATTTCCGGAGGCTACAGCCACACTGCTTCTTTGAGTAGCTCTGACAGTTTTAGTACCAGTAGTACAATAGTGTCTTGATTACCTCATGATCATTATTGTTATTATTATTTTTGTTAGTAACGTTTTCTTTTTTTACATTTATAATTAATGTTAAAAATAAATGTTAGTTAATAAAAGATTTTAATGTTACGTACTTTAAGTGAAAATGCCAGTCAAAATTACTAATTTTGTTCACCTTTTAATACGTGAAAACTTATTTGCTGATTTCAAAGTAGTAGCTTAGACCATACCATAGATGAGACTGCCTCATCAGCTAAAAATTTCATAAGTTTTATCAACAACGGGTGAAATATGCTAAGACCATAATAAATCATGTGACACAATTAAAATTAATAATAATATAATAATCATTCACAACAAGAGATAAGACAGGGAAAGAGGGAGGGAGGGGGAGAGTGTAGCATTCATTTGTTCATGATTTTGAAGGACTTGGGAAATCAACTGAACTCATTACGCCATCATCATACATTAACCTTTCAAAAAACGACCTAAAATAAAACAATAAAATCCTTAATCATTATTATTGTTATATCCAGAAATAATTATAAAAATTTCCCTGTCTCACCGTCCCTCCTGTTTCTCTGGTTTAGTTGACATGTTGTTTCTGTCAGTGACAATATTATCATCAATCATTCTTAATCTTTTTAGTTTTTCTAATGTTTCATTTAATGGAGGAACCTCCTTTTTCCCCTCCTCCTCGTCGTGAAGCTTTAATAAAGATGGGGGTACAGTGGGCGGGGCTAATGATGAATGTATGGGCGGAGTCACTCGAGAGGGTAACTGTAATAAAATAAAATAAATAAATACAATTAGAATGAACTTACACTTGTTTTCTTTTTCTGTTTTGTTGGTAAATATTTGTCGACGTCAGCACTTTTGATGAATTCTAAAGCTGCTCTCACAGTAACTAGTACAAAACTAACACAAAACCACACCCACAAAGGGGCGGGGCAATAATGATGACCACACCTATTATTCTTACCTCAACTTCTCTCCTTCGCTGAATGGCCAATGAAAGTTTTCAATATAATAAACATCACTTGGAAAGAAATCTATAATAAATAAATAAATAAATAAATAAAATAAATAAATAAATGAATAAATAAATAAATATAATTACTTACTCAAATTTGCTTGTACTATAATAGTTGCCTGCAATTAATTAATAGTTATTAATAGTTATAAATAGTTATCAATACTGACCAGTAGTGATATTAGATCATCCGATGGCAATGGAACTGGCTCTGATTAGAATAACTATTATTAATTATTAATTAATCATTAATTACCTCCAATTCTAAGTGACGATTTGAAATGATTCTTAACATCAATTTGTATATTATCCTAAAATGAATTTAAAAATAAATAATTAACCCTCCCTCCCCCTCTCTCACTATGGTCTCCTGTAGACAATATAACTTTCCAATTGGTGTGTTTTGCTGACTCATCGTATTCAACTTCTCGATAGTTTCCTTATAAGGACAGGAATAGTCCACAGGCAGTCCCAGTGCAGCTGGTGTTAAAGTGGACGAAAGTTCTTTACATCTTTCATAAAACATTTGGTTTTCTTTTCGATGCCTTGAGATGATTTTTGAATAGGGATCCTCTAGAG